CCTGCACCACCTGCCTGGTTGGCTGGCTGGGCTCCATGGTCATGCGGGACTTGGACTCCAGTTTTCATTGTGCCCCAGACAAAGGGCCGATTGTGTATCAGCTGCCTGTCCCACTCCAGAAACAGGAAAGTGGTGGGGGGTTCTGGTGTTCCTCAGGCTTGCCGTTTGCCTGCCCATCTGGCTGTGAGCCTGCTGCTGGTGGAGCACCCTGGCAGCTATCACCCTGATAGGTACAGGGCTCAGCTAAGTCACAACTACATATATTATCTGTAAGTAATAGAATAGCTTCCCTATCATAATTAGTTGAGGAAGTGAATAAGGTGAAGTGGTATGACTTGGAAAGCTCAGCTGGATGTTCCTCATAGTGTCCATGTGAATTAGTAGAAATCATGTCTTTTGGCATTAATCATTTACATACACGCACCTTAATCCATTGTGTTTGAAGGTTACTGGACTCCAGGTAGCATCCTACAACTCTCTTCTGCAATCTACAGCGTAGTTTCAGTTCTTGAAACTCTCCATAATACCAGAGGTTAAAAAGAAATGACAGGAAGCCTATGGCAGGAAGTTAATTCATTCATCCCTTTATGACACCTGGAAATGGTAGTGAGGATGTAAGCTGATTAGTGAGACAGTTGCCTTTCCACAGCCTGGTTTTGCCCTGAGGGGACTCTTCAGCCAGTCTTTTTAAAATGTGAACACAGTCCTTACTCAGAAAACAAGCAAATCAGCAAACAAAAACTGATAATCCTTCTTAGAGTCACAGGACATGCTCTTTTGCTCTGGCTTGTTCCTAGGGTCAAGCTTTCAGGGTCACCTACTCATGGACGGTTTCTTCTCCCTAGCTGGAGTTCTCTACTCTTTCTTTGGGATTTTTAATTGCCTACGGGTACTCCTTGGGCATGTCTACATGAGATGCTTACTGCGCAGTAGTGTGCCAGTCAAAAACCATGCTAATACACTACTGAGCAGTGTTGTTAGGCTACTGTGAAATAAGCATCACAAAAACACTGTGCATCAGTGCTACTGTGCAATAACTGTAGTTATTGCACATTTAGTTAGTACTTCATTAAATAAGTACTAAACTAAATGCATAACTTCTGAGCGTTAGCGAACATGTAGATGCACCCCTTGAGTTGCTAATCGCCTGCAGTTGGGGCTCTAGCATAGGCTGTCTGCACCCTCTTAAAAGGCCAGACTGCCCTGTTACAGAGAGGTCTGTCTGACTTCTTATTTGGTGCTCCAGTACGCCTCATTGTTTCCAAGCAGAACACAAAATGTCACAGTATCCATTTACCCTAAAGACCTTTATGGTAAAATAAACTGGCTCTAGCATGACTTACATGAGATGATAGTCCATCTGAGATATGTAATTTAAACCTAAAGTTTAAAGTGATGAGTCACTGGAACTCAACCACTGGCTTCAGTACTAGCAGCACAGTATTAAAACCAGAAGGATAGACAGTACAGAATGGTCTGCACACCAAGTCTTCTGGTGATCTTCTTGACTATCCTGATCCCTGTGTGGGCACCAAGAAACAGAGAAGGGCAGAAAGGTCCACCAAACTGGACCTTATTCAAGGAAGATGGAAACAATCAACCACCTCCTTTGCTACTGCCTATACACCAAAGAGATATGGAGGAGGGTAAGACTGCTCCTCTGGATGGTGACAGGTGTCAGTACCATGACCAGAGAGATGGCACTGTATGGGCACCTGACCAGACAACAGGCAACCCCATCAACCCACTTCAACCAGTTCATTTCTTGCATCAGGAGCACCTATGGAAGACTAATAATGTACTCAGGTATAGGCAACAAACCTCTCAGTTGAGGACTGTGTAAAAATGGGACTGAGTGAGCTGCAGGCATACTACCAAAAGATGGTAGAAGACGATTTTGAGATGTCAGAAATCATCTGAAAGAGAAGTGACTAAGACAGGCTGTTCAGTTAGGGACAGACATTACACATAAACCGGTTTAAGTGATCAGAAACTGGTTTAAACCTGTAACAGAACATAAGTTCAGTCCACATAAACCAGTTTCAAACTGGCTGAAACTGGTTTAAGATAAACTTGGTTGAATGTAGTATCAGACTTAATTGATTTGGGTCAAACCACTTTATGCAATGTCTGTCCCACACCCCTTAACTTAAAACCAGAGTTCCCCAGCATCCCAGATGCTTTGCAGCCCTGGGCTGGGCTGGGCTGGGCTGGGCTGTCTGCTCCAGAGAACAGGGCTGGCCCACCCCTCTCCTCCCTAGCCAGAGCTCCAGGGAGACTCCAAGCACAGCCGAGTCTGCCTCGCTTCCCCCTACCCCACCCCCCTCACCACTCACTGCTCAAGCAGACCCCAGCCCCACGGACCCTAGACATGTAGTATGCTAGCTAATGCTGAGGGAGGGGTGTGTGTGTGTGTGTCTCCAATTTCACTGGGGCAGGACAAAGGCAGACAGGACAGTGTCTGCTGAGGGCTTTTTGGAGCTAATCAACAGGTCAGCTGGTACTGTCCCTCAGTTCCTTCCTTGGAAACGCTGTTTAAGAGGTTGAACTAATGAGAGAAACTTTTGCTTTCTTGATGGGCTGGTAAATGCTGTGTTATCAGCTCCCTGCTGCCTCCCTTGCCTGTCAGATTTGCTGCAGACGGTATGAAGAAGCAGGGAGAGGGAGATTGAAAAGCTCTGTATCATCAACAGATGCATGCACTGAACACCTCGCTTTGCCTCAGAGTGCTAGCCAGAGGCTGGCGTCTGGCAACACTCCCAAGGCTTGAGCACTGAGCTGGGAAAACCCTGGGACTGTGCAGGCACGGTGGGGGTTTATACCCTTCCCTAATCAGAGCATCCTGATGGGGCCTGGCCATGCCTCACCTCAGCTCAGTACTTTGGAAAGGAAGGGGGGCTGTTCTAGTGCTCCCCAGCTTCTAGCCTGAGTCACTGCAAGCATGTGCCTGCATTTGCTCAGTCCAGAGGGAATGTCTGTGCACTTGCAAACCGGTCCAACCTAGGCAGGTTAGACTAACCTGCAAAGATTGAATCAATTCAGGCTCAGGCTTTTGTAATGTCCGTCTCTAGGCTCTAAGAACAACTCCCCCAAGGAAGACAGCAGTGATGATAACAATGATGAGGAAGAAGACAGAGACAGCAAAGAAGAAGGGATAAGTGAGAAGGACAATGGAAAAGAAAAAGACAACAACAATGATGACAAAGAATGAAGACACCGGCTAAGGACTAAGGGGGGGAAAGAATGAGACGGGCGGGGGAGGAAAAGGGTCAGGGAGATAGAGGGAAAAGAGGCAGGCCAGCACAAATGTAATGGGTAAGGAGATGCAGACAGGAGTGTGGGTGTGATTATTGTGACAGGAATCTGAGGTTGTAACAGTGTATGTGTGCTATGGCCTGTCAAGTGAACCAGACCAGCCACTACACACACACACACACACACACACACACACACACACACACACACACACACACACACACACACACACTTATTTTTTTGCAAAAAAAAAAAAAAATCCTGATCTTAATGTGGTCCCTATTCTGGGCTACCTGTTCTGGTTTTCCTGGTATCCATGATATGGAAACTTGGCTTCCTCTTGACTACAACTCAGCTCCTGACCCTGTCCTATTTCTGACTCTGTCCCTGTCATGAGCTATGGCCTCTTAGCCCCAGTGTCACCTGTGACACCTGATTCTGGCTTCCTTACTTGGCTTGGCCCCTGGTGCCTGTCCCAGCCCCACCAGTCATCCCCCCCTTATGCAAGCCATCTTGAAGCCTCTCCCCTTCCTCTTCCCCTGGCCCCCTGAAGTCTTGGGACCCTGCTTGTCCCCTTATTTCCTCCCTGTGCCATTTCTGCCAACCCACAGCCTCAGCCACCCCTCCTCCCATCACTCCCTTTCCCCACAGCCTTTGGCCTCACCCCCTCCCACTGACTTATTCCCCACTTCCCCTTGCTCCAGCACTGAGCCAGAACCACAGCTATAGGGCTGGGCTGGGACTGTGCTCTATGCTCCAGGCTGCAGTGGGGACAAACACAGCCTGCCAGCGCTGGATCAAGGGTGAATGGTGTGGTGGTGGAGGGGGAGACAGGGGAAAAGGAGCACAGGGGGAGATGGGGGAGGGAGGGATAGGAGGCTTGAGGCTGCTGGGGGAGAGGCAGGGAGTGCAGGCTGCAGTTGTGGCTGTGGCTCTGGCACCAAGCTGGGGTTGGGGCTAGAGCCAGAGCCAGACCAGCTGCCTGCCCCCCGCCCCACTGCCTAGTATTTGATTCCAAAGTCCTAAATGGGGAAACAAACCTTGCCTTAGAATTGAGTAAATACAGTATGCCAACATTTTAAGGCTCTTACATACTGCCACAATGATGTTAAATGGCCTTGGTATAATTGAGAACCAGATTCCATGTGTAAATAAATAACCATGTAAGAGCAAAATATAGGTAACATAATGTCAAGACAGACTTTCAATCCAGACAAAGCCACTAATATGTGCCATCTGAAAGCAGAGAACAGCTCTTCAAGTTTGGCTGCCTTCATGCTGAACACACAATCACTGAAATTTCACACTTTCACAAAAAGATCCTCAAGAGGAAAGGATCTGGCCTGAGTACAGAAAGGTTTTCAAATGTCAAAAACAATTTGGTTATGAATGTGAAAGAATCATGACAAATGGAGAGCTTAACCATCCAGCACACAGAATATCTGTGTGTACTGAGTTGTGTGGCCTGCTGGAACAATGGAAATGTATCAATGTCATGACAGGGCAATACAACTGAATAGCTTATATTATATACTGTAGGTAAAAATTCCCCTGGGAGGCTCCCACACTCCATAACCTAAGGCAAAATTCAGTTCTGTGTTGAATATTAGGGGGTACCATCTCTCCTTAGATGTGGACATGAAAGCCAGTAGGTTTAATGGGAGCTAAACAGCAGTATCATGGAAGGATCAACCCACAGCAACACATCAACCTGAAATTGTGTGTGTGAAAATCATTAGTACAGGTTTTGTTTTTATGTTTTCTTTTTAATTATTTTTCTAAACATTTGTATTATTAGACAAAACATTTAGATCATGAGAAAATATTTATTTCCAACAGCATGGATTATCAATGTTAATTGGAAGAAGGCATGTTCAACGTTACAATTTCTCAACGCTGGACCAGTTGAACTAGTATGTAGCAGTGCATATATTAACCAGTTACTTTAAAGAAATGCAAAAAGACAAAGTGATGAGAAGGTGAGTACAAACATTCAAGGCAGTAAAAATGCAGAACACTGACATATGGTTGAAAAATGTACTTTTTTGTAATTCTCTTTTAGTATCACATAAAACTAGCAATTCACTTTAATACATTCTTCATTATCAACCATACTTGAACTACATGAATGTATTAAATTTAATATTATCTTTCAGCAAGAAGAGCTCTTGAGGTCTAATGTTCATCTCAAATACTTAGATTTTGTTAACTTTGCCTGTTAAAGATAAGTTGAAAGGTACTGCACCAATATTATATAGTTTTTTATTTGATTTGTACAGAAACATGCAGATATTAATGCATGAGGGCTTTTATAAAAGTTATATTTGGTTACAATTGTATATATTATTGATAGAGCACACTAAGCATTTTTTGTTACATTTTATGCTGAAATGTTAATCCACAGCTACCTAAATGCCATCATCTTTTATAAGGCTTAAAACATTAAGCCAAAGAATGGAGGAAATAATTATGTCTTTACCCTAGAACATAGTTACAAACTGATAGTAAGTTATAGGCAGACATATCCATATGGAATTAAGATTGCATGGGTTTTGTATCAGCATGAAATGTAAAAAAAAAAATAGGAAAAATACAGGTGACTGGCACAATATACCTTTGAACCAGTTTCGTATAAGGCTTTTGTTTTCCTGATGAATGGGACATCAACTTATTAGACAGTTTCTTTATACATATTTAATCATGGCTGTATTACATCACAATCTATTTTTAATAAAATAAAAACTCTGGTGTTGTCTTTAAAGATAGTGAATTTCAGTTTAGGGCATGTCCACCCTGCCCTGCTAGCACTGCCAAGAAGCAGGCTCCCACTCACTGCAGTAAGGACTGGAAATGCAGTGTAGCCAATTTAGCAGAGCATGAACCCAGAACCATCTTCAAGCGCGCTGTCTTGGGCATGCTTCTTGGAGTGCGCTCAGGGTGCCGAGCATACGACGTGGCCATTTAAAGAATAGCTTGCAGCTAGTGTATAAGAGCTAGATTTAAGGTGCTTTCATTGTTTTGCTTCCATTCCTATAACGTATCACACAAAACATTGCAGTATTTACTTGCTGACATGCTTTTCTTTGGCCTTTACCACATTTTTAATGCTTTTCCCCCTGTAAGAACTCAGTGTTCATCCATTCACTGGATTTTTGTAAAATTCAGTGAAACAAAATGCTAGATGGATTTCTTTCACCTCGGTGACATGTCCTTCTATTCCCATATAAAATTTCTTTGCATCAAACAATAACTGCAAGCAACAATTAATTTAAAGCTAGATTTTTGTACGTTGTAAACTGCCTAGGACCAGGAGTTACTGACAGAACCAGCTGGTCATGCAAGATTAGCAAAGTATCCCTATTCCAATGCATTGCCGTATAATCTTTTTCATTTGTTTCCCCCCACACACACACACTAAACACAATGAAGCTGGACGATGGTTCAACAGCAAGTGCGTATGATAGTGCTGGCAAGACTATTTTTGTTTTGAGTAAGCACATATTTTGTCTGAGAGAGGTTAGAAAAGCAAAGCTTTTTTCTTTAGGTCATTCCGCTTCCAAAGTGCCAGACGATCAAATTCTTCAATGCTCATTTTGAAGACTTCTTGGAACTCCTCAGGGGACAAGTGCCTCTTGAAAATGAAAATACAAAGGAATTGTAAGTGCTTCCATAAACAAGTATCTTTCTCTCGCTTCTGGTTTTTAACCCACACTACAGTATAATGCATTAGGGTTTATATTCAAATTCCCAATATGAGTCTGGAAAAGAATCTAAACCAAATAAAGTAAGAGCACCTAGGAAATGAGCTTATTGATAGCAATAGCTTATTTGTACAAAAAGAAGCTCTAGCCTTTGGGAAGGAGATATTGTTCCTCACACATAATACCTGCTATCAGAACACACCAAGACCAGTTTAAGCCGTTCTGAAACGGAAAGACTGATAAAAATGTAATTTTGGAGGTGGATTTGTTTCTTTCTGATATTTAATGAGTCCGGTAGACATCATGATAGCAGCCTCATAACAAAGGAGAGATCATGCTGCTAAAGCTCTTACATGCAAAATGTACTTATCAGTAGGCATAAAATTATATCACAGTGATATACCAGATAATGTTAATTTGAAATGGCAGGAACTGTACTATTATTTGATGTTCTAGATTATTCAATATAAATTGAGACAGAGTGAAAAAGAGAATTATAAAAATAAAGACCTCTCATTGGAGTAGGATAAGGGATCTATATAATAAAATTATGCCTAATACCTAATAATTATATTCACAGAAAAGACCTTGAAGAATAAATACATTTTATAAAATGATAAATGCACCTGATTATTTTTATTATACATTAACATGGGCTAATTTCCCACAAAGCACTTTACAATTATCCAGCAGGGTTCACAGCTTCAGTTAGGCAAAGATTATACCACCTAAAACTGATATAATCAAGTGAATCATCAAAAATGGCAAATTGCCTGTTTCAAAAAAGACTTCATTTGAAGTGGAGCTCAATTTTCACAGATTCGGTGTGCGCGAGTTGCACTGGGGTTAGTTCAAGCTTAGGGGCTCAGCAGCTCTGCAAATCAGTCCTAAGGTGCTGAGCTGCCAAAACAAAGGTTTTCAAAACCAGAAGCCTTTCAAGGTCAAAGAGTCAAAGACTGGCTAGAATCCAAGCATGCTATTTTTCGTGTTCCAATTACCCTCCAGACCAGGGGCTGCCATCCCAGAGCCCATGAAGCCTGGGCCTGCAGACGTGGCTTCAGTGGCAGGGGGTCAGCAATGGTCACTTACTTGTGCTGCTGCGGGAATAAGCAGAGGAGATGGTAGCATTGCCTGTGCTGCCAGGGGAAGAAGTGGCAGCAGTGGGCACTTTCCCCATGCTGCCATGGGGAAAAGCAGCAACGGTGGATGGGTCCTAGCAGCTGCTTGCCTGCTTGCCTATCTGCCCTGACCCGAACTGGGTCATTCAGCCTAAAAAGGTTGCTGAGTGCTGCTCTAGACCCTCACAAAATGCCGTTGTAGCTGCTTTTTCTTTTAAAACACAGCTGGAGAAGAAGGAGGAATTTGCCTTTTGTATAATGGCAGTAGTCATAGCATTCACCCAGGAACTAGGGGACCAGGGTTCTGTGTTTTCATCAGCCTGACGGGCTCCAACCCCGCTTCTCTCACCACTCAAGAAAACGTCCTAGCCAGCAGGCTCTTCAGTACGTGCGCAGAGATGCCTTCCCATTCTCCTGTTGAAGAAGCTGGGCCACTGTGCTGGGACGAGTGTAAGATTCTTGAGGCAGGGAGACAGTGTGTGCAAGAAGTAGAACAGTATAGTTTAGTGGTTAGGCACTCAGCTGAGAGGGGAATCCCAGGATCCAGTTCCCAGACCGGTAAACATTTTAGGTTGTCCCAAGAACAAAAAAGAAACACATCCAGGTTCAGCAAAAAGGACCCAGACCTTTCCTTCTCAGATAAGTGTCCTCAACACTAGCCATAGTGCCAGGGTTCCCTCTTTCTGACTCCACGGATCTTGCACTCCTTCCAGCAAAGAGGCACAGCTCCCACAGTGGAGGTGAAAGGTACCCTTCTCTCCCACCCATCCTACCCTGTAATCAGGTGCTTAGAGCAATCTCCTGGGAATGTTTGTGCACTTACATTAGACAACCACTGGATTAAAAAATGTAATCCCTCTTAGGAGCAGAGACAGGAACTCAACCCACGCTCAGCCACATGTCCTAGCCTGCAGTATATGGAAACAGGCTCTCACTTGCTTTCTTCCTCCTGACTTTCAGCTTTGTTTGTCCTGCACCTAGCCCTGGATGCAACTCCCTGCCTGCCTACAGCCCCATCCCATCTGCCTGGTCACGCACCCTGCCTGTGCAAGTACTGGCCAGTCCTCACAAAGACCCCGGGATCACTGGGCAGTGACAGCATGGGGCCGGGGCCTGGGGCAGAGCCACAATCTCTCCCTGCCCGTGGAAGCAGCGCCTGTTGCAAGGCCGTATGGGAAGCAGATCACAGCTCTGCCCCCAGGCCCTGGCCCCATGCTGTCACTACCTTGCAATCCCAGCCCTGGCCCCACCTGCCCACCCATCCTGCTCCCAGATGCCACTTCCTGCCTGCCTGTGGCCCCATTCCCAGCCACCTGGCCCACCACAGAGCAGATTTTGTTAGGGAGTTTTGGTGACCTGTTGCAAAGGGTGGAGGATAGGGAGACAGGGGTGCTGACCCGACCCACAATAGTTTACCAAAACTCCCTATATGGCCCACAAGCCCAAATAAGTGCCCACCCCTGCTTTAGCCATTCTCTTTGGAAGCTACGCTTGGTACCTGCCCCTGTGGTTCGTGCCTTCTAAGTTTCTTAGACAGTTTAAAGTACAGACATTTTCATCACTTTCCTTATGAGGGACAACATCCGAAACTGCACCCAAAGCCCCCAAAGACAAAATGAAACAAGATATCTTTTGCTCATCCAAATAGCTTGTTTTTCCATGGCTGCATTTGTAAAGCATGTCTTTGCCCCAGTAATCTGTTGAAGTTATGCTCAGAGAATTCTTTCACTGCAGGACCGGATCACGATTCTAGGACAAGATTCAGTTCGGGGAGAGACCGCCCTCTTTTTCCAAACTCAGAAACTGTCAGTGAAAGTTCCTCTTTTCAGTACATTGACAGATTCTTCACACTTTTACATGAAGCTGGAACGCCTTTGTTTTTGTCCTTTGTATTTGTTCAGTGTTCTGAGCCATGCTTGAGTTAGCTGCTAACCGTAGCCGCATACAAAAAGGAAAGAGAAGTTCCAAATTTTGTCATTTTTTCTTCTAAATATATGTAATAGATTGCAACACGAGTGGGATTAAAACAAAGGGCTTTTTCTTCTGGGAATCACAACTATATCTTTACAACATTCTAATAATTTCCAAGTACAGTGGTCTATAGAGCAGACGGCTGTATTTACTTTCAAGGATTTCCTTAGACAGTTTACATAGAGCAGATGAAATAATTTTGAAGTGAAAAATTAACCATTTACTTTTAAAAAAAAAAACCCAACAAAAAACCTAGCTCTGGGGGCTGGACCCAATATAGGAGCTATGTCATGCAATGCCTAACTTTTAAGTTTCCAGGGCAAAATCTGGAGTTGTCTTCTAGGAGCCTACAAGTTAGGTTCTGGCCACCCTAAAAATTTGGCATCTGGACTCTTAAGAAGGTGATTTGAAGAAAGCGGATCAGGCACCTAAGCTCCCTAGGGGGTCAATGCGGAGATTTATGAGGTCCTCGATTCTCTGGACACTGACCAGGGAGCTGCCTAGAGCTGGCCAACAGAAACACTAAGCACAGGGGTGTACTGGATCTTCTCTCCCTTCAGCTTATGTACCTCTGTTCACTTGAGACCTAGAGTGCAGAATCATCTTCTAATGGTTGGCATTAAACTACTACTAGTAGCACCTACCTTCTATGTGCCAGTTTTGTGGTTACAGCACGTACCCAGGGCATGGGAGGCCTGGGTTCTAGGTCATCTCAGCCACAGGAAATGTAAATCCTCCCAGAATGCCCTAGCCACTAGGGTATTGGTTAGTCTCAGTAAAGGCACTCTCTGTCCCTCATATGGAAAGTGGCCGGGGCCACTGCAGGGCCGTGTGGGCAGTGGATTGTGACTCTGCCTCTGCCCCATGCTATCACCACCCCACAATCCCAGCCTTGCCCAACCGTCCTGCTCCTGAACACTGCTCCCCACCTGCCCAAGGCCATGCACTCTGCCCACACAGGTCCTGCCCCTGGCAGTGGGTGTGGGGCAGAATGGCTGGGGTGCCCCAGCAGTAGGACTGGGTCTGGCAGTGGCAGCAGTCACCAGGAGCTGCCACCACCAGGGCTGCTGGGAAGTGAGTCTAGTCACCATGCCACCCCAGCCCTGCTGCATGCCTGGGGGTGGCAGGACCAGCCACACAGGCTATGGTTCAGACTGCCCCCCATGCCTGGGTTGGCTGGGACCAACAGACCTGCTGCTGGCCAGACAAAATCCCTTAGTGGACCAGACCTGGCCCATGGGCCATATTTTGCCACACCTGGTCTAAAGGAATTTGGAACCATGTTGTTTTACTGACACATACAATACGAACTCATGTCAATAAACTTCTGCGTACACTTTGGGCTGGATTCAGCTGCGGAGGCGGAAGCATGGCACATTTGTTCTACCTTTACTCCACAGTAAAACTCAAATGGACAGATGGGCTGCATCTAGAGGAGCGCAGATGTACAGTAAGTGGAGTTGCACACTGCACGTGCAGGCGTGCCCCGCATTGCTACCTTGCAAAGCTGGGGGGGAGGGGGGGGTTGACCCCGGGACATCCTGAGGTAAAAAAAAACCCACACCAAAAGAAAGTGGGGTTGCGCATGTGGTGGCAGTGTATGTTGCCCAAAACCGGAGCCTGACTGGTCAGGAAAGGCTGCTGGGGCCAGCCTCCTCTCCCCCACCTGGGGTAACCTGCTGTGCGCCGGAGCGTATGTGGCATGGGTGTTCCCCAGGGATAAGTAGCAGTGGCACAAGGTGTGCTGCTTCTTCTTGTCCCTGTGGAGACAAACATCCATACTTGTCTGGTTGTAGCCATGATGTATATCAGTACAAGTGGCTACGCTCTGGGCATGTCCA